ATCTCATGACGTCACACATGACTACACGAGAGTGAATTGTTGAATGAAATAAGGAAAGCCGTTGGTATAAGTATAAACCAATGGCTTCTGTTACCAATTATAGAAATTATAGACATTTAAGAATATTTGTAGAGATTCCATAGTTGATTTTGTTTAGGTTGGGTTTTAACTGTTTGATGTATAATGCTTCAAGTATTTTTAGTTTTTGTCTATTGTTTTCATGTCGAAGTATAGTTGTGTTTTCGACAAGTATTTTACGGAATTGTGTGTGCGGGCAGGCATGTTGTTTTAAATGCCTAAAAATGTTAGAGTTTTCATTAAAATGTAGTGTCAAGCGTCGTGAAAGCGAGTTTGTGGTGTGACCAACATAAATATTATTTAATTCGTTGGAGATACACTCTCCCAAGGGCACTTTGAATTTATAAACTATGTTGGTTTTTTTTGCAAATCGCTAACCGGTGGAGAAGAATCATTGCGAAGTATTAAGTTGGATATACTAGATTTAGTGTAGTATATGATTAATTTAATTTTTTGCTAGGATCTGTAGTTGATATATTAGAATTTACTAAATTTTTTAGTATGTGTTCATCTTGTTTATAATTAGTATGCATTTGATTACGATATAGGAGATTAATATATTTGAGATCAGTAGAAGCAGTATTATGTACAATTTGCTTATTATTGAGATTTCTAAGAAAGCATCTTATTTGTTCATCAACTATATAGTTTGGAAAGCTATTATTAATAAGTGTCTGTTTTATATTCTTTAGTTCACTGTAAAAAATCTGTTTGGTGGATGAATTAGTTTCTGCACGATGTATTAGATTCTTTATAATTGCTATTTTGTAGTAATATGGGCATTCGCTCTTGTAGTTAAGTGTACATGAATTTATGCTTGTAGGTTTTTTGTATGGCGAAATAGTAAATTTGTTATTATTTGTGTTTATCAATATGTCAAGGAAGGGGATTTTATTATTAGTATTGAGTTCATATGTGAATTTAAGGACAGAATTATTTTGGAACCGTTTTTTGAAGTTGAATTATTTCATCTGTATTTTTAACTAACATAAGAATATCATCAACGTATCTTAGGTAGATTGATGGTTTTTAAAATCTGTAAATAACTTATTTTCGAGGTTCGACATGTAGAAATTACTAAATGTCGGGCCCAATACTGAACCCATGGAGACACCATCACGTTGTATATATATATTGTTATTATGATCGAAGAAAGGGACTTCAGTAGTACAAGTTAATAGTAGTTTTCTTAATATATTAGGATTAATTTTAAGTGGGGGTAAAGATGAGTTACTGTATATATTTCTTATGATTATATCAATAGTTTCACTAACAGGGACATTGGTAAATAAGTTTTCAACATCAAGTGAAGCCATGATTTCATTGTCAGGTTTTTCACTTTTTAGGATTTGGATTACTTCTAATGTTGACTTAACACTATATTTACTAGGAAGATAGGGAGTAATAAGTTGGTTGATGTATTTTGTTAGATGATATACAGGAGTTGGAATTTGCGATATGATAGGACGGAGAGGATAGTTAGGTTTATGTGTTTTTATAGTGCCATATATGTACCAGGGTCTATATTCACAAACAATTTTAGGGAGTTTTAAAAGAGTTCTGTTCAGCATTATTAGCATTAATAAGTTTATTAAGCTTTGATTTTAGTTGGTTGGTCAGGTTCTTGTTAAGTTTTTTAAACTTTATGTGATCATGGAGTATGTGGTCTAGTTTTTTGTTGTAATCCAATTTGTTTAGGATGACAAAAATGTTGGTCTTAGCTTTTTTTACAATAATGTCAGGGTGGTTACGTAGTTCTTGTGCGGCAATTTTCAGTTGTTTAGAAATAATTTTTGAGGAGTTTCTGCTTTTATCATGTCGATCTTTCAGTGCCTCGGCCTTAAGTAAGTCTTTAAATTCTGGTGTAGTTTCTATTAGTTGTTCATCCTGGAGTTTAACGATGTCTTGGTATAGGGTCTCAATTTCTATTTTTTTTAAAAAGTCGATTGTACTTACGGTATATATGGCAGTTAGGTCCAAGGTTAAGTAATTCTTTTTGGTGCTTAGTTAGTTCATAGTTGGAAAGGTTAATGTATTTATCAGTTTTGTTAGGAAGAGTGATATTACCTTTGTATAATGTATTCAGTTTTTTTATAATTTTAATTCGGTGTTGAGCTTCAGATTTATTGGTAATTTCCGTGAGTCTATGTGTAATTTCCTCCAGTTGGTCCGTGGTAGTTATATCCTGTAGTTCATCGTAAATGTCCTGTTTTTTGCTGTTAAAGTTGTTTAATTTTTCTTTGGATATTTCGATTTGCCTTTTCACAAGGCTACATTTGTAATTCCAAGTATTAATAGTATTGTGGGCTGCTGGATCATGTAATTTAAATTGTGTGTAGTTAGGCAGCATATTTTCATTTATACACGTTTCATTAAATAATATAGACAAGTGTTGTCTATTTTATGTAAAATTTTTTCGTATCTTCTGATAAGTTTGGTAACATTATCATTAACCGAAAAAAGAAATTCACAATATTTATCCATTATTTTTTAATAAAATCTAAGCTTTCGGCTTACTCAAGCCATTATCAAAGATGTAATTACAAACATATCAAACATTTTTAGGCATTTAAAACAACATGCCTGCCCGCACACACAATTCCGTAAAATACTTGTCGAAAACACAACTATACTTCGACATGAAAACAATAGACAAAAACTAAAAATACTTGAAGCATTATACATCAAACAGTTAAAACCCAACCTAAACAAAATCAACTATGGAATCTCTACAAATATTCTTAAATGTCTATAATTTCTATAATTGGTAACAGAAGCCATTGGTTTATACTTATACCAACGGCTTTCCTTATTTCATTCTACAATTCACTCTCGTGTAGTCATGTGTGACGTCATGAGATGCGGTGCGATTTTCGCTTCTAGCGTCTTATATGCGTTTGTTCATCGTTGCTTAGTGATCCACTATGTAAACAAAACAATGACAGACTATCATCACTGTCGTGTCCGTATATTGTTTGATATGTTTGTAATTACATCTTTGATAATGGCTTGAGTAAGCCGAAAGCTTAGATTTTATTAAAAATAATGGATAAATATTGTGAATTTCTTTTTTCGGTTAATGATAATGTTACCAAACTTATCAGAAGATACGAAAAAATTTTACATAAAATAAATAGACAACACTTGTCTATATTATTTAATGAAACGTGTATATATATATATATATATATATATATATATATATATTTCAAGTATAGGATTGGTGTATACAGAATAAATTCCACTAACCAAAAAATACTATTCTTAAAAGAGTGCTTAATACAGAATAGAGCAAATATAATTTATTCGAAAATTATAAAATAAATATGTTATAAAATCACTACAAAAATAGCCATTTTGTTTCAACACTTCTGGTTTCTTCTCAAGTGATGGTGTTGTATAGAGAATCTACATTCAACACCATCACTTGATAAGACCCCAGAAGTGTTGAAACAAAATGGGTATTTTTGTAGTGATTTTATAACATATTCAATTTTCGGTTAAATTATATATATATATATATATTATTATGAAGTAATACAGTTCTAAGGTGTGCTATATTTATGGGATAAAGTGCTCAATATCAGAGATAGAGCATATGTAAAATATAAAGTGAACATTGAAGTCAGCATCTCAGAGTCGACAGGCTGTTTCATGCTAGACTCAATTGTTAGGCAACCTGATGATTGTGTCTAGCATGAAACAGCCTGTCACCTAAAAGTGTTGGCTTAAAATGTTCACTTTTATATATATATATATATATATATATATATATATATATTCTGTTAGAATGTTAGTCATTATCTATTCATGTATATTGCATAGTAATTATTTCTACTTAATGAATATCTGAGTTTGGATCTTTCCATGAAATGCATAAGCTATGAAATTGCCGCAAATTGCAGAATATATGATAAAATTGATAGTATATATTGTCATCAACACTACATGCACTTGGTTTCTTGCCAGGCTAGTCAAAATCTGAGTCATCAGCAGAACTAAATCTATTTATTTTCCCACAAAAAAATTGTCATCAGTCAAGAATGACCTACAATTTCTCCTAGACATTCATAAGCATATACCCGGCTGTTATATCAAAATTCAATTATCTGTCCATGAAAAATCACAAAATAAGACACTAATTTTTAAGCTTGTCACTATAACATGAAAGCTGCCATGTTGCTTAGGTTGATTTAATAGTGTATATCCCACTATGGCCAATTGACATTATTAAATTAGGTTGTAAACAAACATGACTGGCCAGCTCAATCTGAGAAAGATCAAGTTAGGATTTTATTAACAAACAATCACTTGTAGATACTAAAGAGAAAAAATTCAACTTATCCTTGTGAGAAAGTGTAAATATATCAGCATAAGAAAAGACTGTGCATTTCCTATTAGTGACTGTGGTCAATACCTAAGCCCAGTTAGAAACAATGACAAAACAAGTAAAAATAGTAATAAAATAATAGTGATATGAAAAGTGTATTGATCCCGAAGATTGTGATAAAAAGCTGCAATAATAACATATTGTAAAACTAGGAATTAAATATCAGAAATAATGAAGAATGTATTGAGCCAGAGTTTTGCAATAACAATCTATACTGACAATAATGGAGTTAAACTTGTTTTGATTGATTGATTTACTGAGTGATTCATGCTTTACAGCTTATCAACCTTTTTCAGATTATTTAAAACCAGAAAATATTTCTAGATTGTAACATTTTTTGGAGATAATAATGGTTTATTGATAAGTCCTACTAATTAACCCATAGCTGGAGGGAAGAAGAGTTGGATTCATGCCTTTCCCAAGCATATTTATGCGTAAATGAAGTACGACAATCCTGACTGGAATTGGAACTCAGCTCTTTGATCTCCAATTCTGAGCTCTTATCCATTACATCACTGTCACATCCAAGCGTATAGCACCTGGTATTCCCAAGCAGTCACCCATCTAAGTTCTAACCAGGCTCAGCATTGCTTAACTTTGGTGTTCATATAAGAACCGGTGTTTCAACTTGATAGCACTGTAAGCCTAAACTTGTTTTAAAATAACTGTACAAAGAAACAGTATCAACAGGGACTGTTGGGATAAAATGTAAAGAGACCTAATACCAAGCCCCAAGAGCCAGTAAAGGTAGAGAGTTGCAGATTGAGGTTGTTGCAAGAAGAGGAAGCAATTGTATATCATGGGGATATGTAGGATAGATAACAGCTGACCCTTGACTTTCATAGGCTATGGTTATAGTTATTGGGTAAGCATCCTCTTGGGAACCTTGTCTCTAAATTAGTGGTTCTTGGGAAGAACTAAGTAGAATTTATTTGTTACCAATGAAATATGAAGGAGATGGGCACATGGCATACTGGGTCCTAGCTGTAAAATTCTTTCTAGGAAATGTGTCATTTGAAGAATTAAAAAAAATGTCATAAATAATATCAGGAATATTTAGACAAACAGGATATTGAGATATGAGTCTCTTGAATGCAAATGTTCATCCCCAAACATAACCTTCATGAAATTTCCTTTAGGAAAAATCTTTAAATAAAAGATTAATGAATATACCAAAATGTGAATGAATACATTCTGTTATATATATGCACAATATTTGGCACACCTGCTAATAAACAGAAGAATGGATTTAGGTCAAGGAGTGGAATGGAAGTTCAAGCCACACTGGAAGCTATTTCTGATTTTGTTTGTTAGCAAGAAGGAGAGCTCAAGATAAAAGCTATAAATTAAAATCATCAAAGTCTAGCAAATTACAGAAATTTGAATATCTGAAAAGTGTTTTAACAGATGATGGAAAATGTGGCATAAAAATCTGAAGGTGCATTGAAATAGTGAAACAAGCATTTCAAAAGCTAAACAAACTATTAGCAAACAGAAAATTTTCATTAGAAACAAAGAAAATAGTGCTGAATTGTTATGTATATCAATCCTCCTATATGAATGCTGGTTAATTTACTCACAGATAAAAAGAAGACGAGGCAACAGAAATATTGTTTGTGGGTTACCCCATTTAGCTTTGCTAAATGTCCGTTAGGTGATGCTGTTTAAATTCTATAAAAAAAAAAACACATTTTCTTTGTTTCTTCTTTCTTCCTCTTGCTTCAAGATGTAGCAACATGTAGATGAAGGTACCCTTGCCTTTCTCTAGTTGAATGATAACTGAAATTTTACACGCAGGGACATGTACAATTCTTAAATAGTTACATTTTTAATCTCTATTTTTTCTTTTCATCTGTGTACACATTAATGTAATTTTCCTTTGTTAATGCATGCATTACTTCTTGTTTGTTTAAAATCCATGTTTTCCATTTCATTTTTACCCAGATGCACATGGGTCTGCCAAAAATTGTTTGTGGGACAAATATACCAGGAGCCATTAAATGTTTAATTAAAAACTTCTACAACTTGCAACGAAAGTGGTGATCCCTGCTACAGGCTCTACTGAAAGATGCTGAGAATACTTTGTATGGAGCATGTGAGAAACAAGGACATTTTAAGAAAATGGGAATGAAAAGGATACATGTACTTAATCTAAAAAAAAACTGTTGTTGACATTTGTGGCACACATAATGATGAAAGAGAGCTTGACAAATTTGACATCTATTTACTCACTATTTCCCTCTTGCCTTCATTATGTCCAGTGGATGTCAAATTTGTCAAGAGGGATAGTAAGCAGACATACAATGCTTAGTGTCACAAAGGATAAGAAGTTGTGGAGAGCCTGATTGCACACATCTTGTAGGAACATGGTACATAGAAGGAGAAGAGTACTTTAGTGTGAATCATTTCTGAGTGTTCTGAAAGCAAAGCAACAATATAAATAGAGTGAAAAAAAAAAATTAATGCAAAAACTTTATTAATGATTCTGCGTGCATAAACTGCTCTCCAAATTTAAATACTCTTGGGTATCAAATAATATGGCAGTGGAGTTGTACAATAGGAAGTGTAACTAGAAATAATCATTTTTTCAATTTCTTTTTATATTATTATAGATTAAGCACTCCAGACAATGAAAATAATTTTTTTAAATTAAATTTTGTAAAAGTAAATAGGGGGTGCAGTTTGGTATGTAAATTCATTGCAAGTTTCACCCCACTGTGGAAGCCTAAACAAATATATTCATATAACATGATTTCTTAAAATGTAAAAAAATTAAAATGTATTTTTAAATTCTTAATGTGGAGTTTATATATATATATATATATATAATATTATATATATATAATAATATATATATATAATAATATATATATATATATATATATATATATATATATATATATATATATATATATATATATATATATAATGGACTCTCCCATCGGTTTCAACGTATGAGGATTTGACAACTTAATTGATTCAGTTATGAATTTTGTGCGATAATTTTAAGTGGCACTTAAGACCAACAAGACCAGCAAAGAAGTGAGAGTGAGGATTGTGGGGTAGGTCACTGTTACATTGGCTGACCTTTTAGATCTTGCTCTCATTTTTTGAAGATGATTCAGACTAGCAGATTGAAAACTGCTGAGTCCACTAAAACACATTGATCTCCACTCTACCCACTGCAAGGCTAAGTGCGTGAATGTGTTATGATATATATATATATATATATATATATATATATATATATATATATATTACTATCAATTAAGTACTCCAAATTATGAATTTTAAAATTTTTTAAAATTTATTTTACAAGTTAAGAAATCATGTCTTATGAGCATACTTGTTTTGGTTTCTGTAATTAATCTATAGCAATATTAAAAAAAAAATGAAAAAAAATGACTATTCCTGGCTGCAGTGCCTACTGTATAACTCCACTGAAGTGCCCTACCAAAAACTAAATAAAGTGTTAAGAAACAAGTAACAGGTGGGGTTGGAAAAGAAATCAGAAACTGTAATAAACTGGGGTGGGGGTAATAAATGGGGAGATTGGAAGAAATGAGAAAATCTAATAAACAGTGATGTTCAGTAGCATGCAGACAGGGTGGAAAGCAGAAGGTGTGATGGCCCTAGGCATCCATATCAGGAAGGCATCCAATCAAAGAGTGAAACAAAAATCTAGTTCATATTTAATTTGAATAAAGTGTTTATTTCATGTTTCACCTGTTTTTAACATATTTAAAATGTCTTCCTTTCTCACATTTCTCAGTACTAGGCCCTATAGACCCCCACTACTTAAGTCTTAGGGGCATACAATCAAGGAGTTAACCCCGGGTATTACAAAACATCACCAAACTTTTGCATGTCATTGGTGGTGTTTCTGTAAATGAAGTGGTTCAGGAAATGATTAGAAAAAAATCTTTCAAACTATAAAAAGACTTTGAAGAAATAAAACTAAAAAATAAATGTCTGCCAATGCTTTTAAGTAAAAAAGCATTAAGAAAATTGAAAATATTTCCGTAAAGTCTTGCTAATATTGTACTATAAATAAAAGTCCATCAATGGTCAACAAATAAATAATATATATATCTAATAACATCCGTAAATAATATTTTAATGAAATCAAAAATAATTTCATAAGGTTCATTTTCCATATCTTGTTGACTTTTGTCAACAAGATATGGAAAATGCTTTGCATCTTCCTCAATCTCATCATGGTATATTTCAAAATATCTATAAATCTATCATTCTTCCATGCTTAGAATATTTCTGCCACATATGATCCAAAGAAGAATCAGAATTATTGGTCCTGACCTGGCGACTTGGCTTCAGTCACTTTCCCATCGACGTAAAGTTGCTTCCCTGTGCCTTTTCTATGAATATATTCATAGTAATTGTTTGGATGAGCTCTTTGCTATGGTATCTAGACTTTATAAATTAACTAGACTGGTGATGAGGTCTCATCAATTTACAATTGAGTTGGTTAGATATAACCGTAAGTTCTATGTTAATAATTTCTTTTCTTGCACTGCTCACTTTTGGAACTCTCTATGTTTTCCAGCCAACTTTAATCTCCAAAACTTTAAATGCAATTTCAGTCACTATCTACTGTCTTGATTACTCTTTTTTTTGTTCTGGCTCCATAGTAATGTTTCTCTTTCTAATTCTTCAATGCCCATTACCTCTTGCATCTTAGTGGCTTTACTGCCTTGCTTGGGGTGAATTTCCATTGATCTACTAAGGTAACTTTGAATAGTCAAAAATCAAGAGACAGGGCTCCTAATAAGCTGTGGGTGTGGTGCAAAAAAAAAAAAAATTAACAAAGGGAAGGGCATTTAATTGACAGTCAAAAGTAAATATGAACTCATTATGTTATTTTTTTTCCCTACTAAAGTATTTTCTTACCTTTTTTACAATGTCAAGGTAATAAAAAATTTGAAAGTGGTATCCATTAATGTCACACATGCACACAACACATATATATGAGTCATTCTCTTGTCAGACAGGTTTTTATGTTTTCTATTTTGGAGTCTTAAAATGAGTAAACTTTACACCCAAACATTAACTAATAAGCTGACGGTGGAGATATAAACCTTTGAAATCCTGCTTATTAGTTACAAAGTAAGCAGGAAAAAATATAAACTATTAAAAAAAAAAAAGCAAGAAAGACCTCCCCCACTTTTCATATTGATTCTGTAGAGAAATTAAACTATTTAACCTCTGAACCATGAAATACAAGCAACACACCTACGACTACTGATAGATGAAGGCCTCATAGAGTCACTTATTGTCATTTGCTAAGTTTAGTTGAGAATGAAAAGACCAAATGAGAGGAATTTGGGCAAAGTAGATTATGTTTCACCAAGCTTCTAAATGGGGAGGGCCTAACTTAAAAATCAATACCAAGCCATCACCTAGCTTTGGACAGTGACTATGGACAACAAAAAGAAAGATACAACTATCTCTCTCACCAAGCAGCAGTCCTTTAGCTTAGTATGGCACATGATTATATGGTGATAGTAGGGGCTAGAAAGAAGTGGGAAGCTCTTCTTATTGGGACAATTATATAGGGTGTGGCAGAAATACCTCCCACATATAACTTCCAGAAATACTTTCCATATAATG